TAATATTTAGCTTTATCTTCTCGAGTTGATCTTTGAAATTTTCTTCTCAGCTCTTGTACCTCCTCATTTCTTCCATTTGCTTTAGCATCTCTATGCTGAAGAGCAAGTTTCAGTGTCTCTTCTGACATCTCTTTTGACCTTTTCCTTCTTTCTTGTCTTCTTAATGACTTTTTGCTTTCTTCATGTATGATGTTCTGATGTCATCCCACAATTCTTCTGGTCTTTGGTCTTTAAAAGTATTTAATGTATTAAATCTGTTCCTCAGAAGATCTCTAAATTCAGGTGGGATATATTCAAAGTCATATTTTGGCTCTCGTGGACTTGTTTTCATTTTCTTCAGCTTCACTTTGAATTTGCATATGAGTAATTGATGGTCTGGTCCACAATAGGAGGGTCCTAGTGTTTCCATATCCTGGCCAACACTTATTTTCTGTTTTTTGAACTTCGCTATTAATGATGGAGTAAGATGATACCTCATTGTTGTTTTGATTTGCATCATAGCGATCCTGTATAGGGTTTCGGAGGAGCGGCTAGTGAGCTTAAATCACAAAATTGGAGGTTTAAGCTCACTAGCTGCTCCTCCAGAACCCTACACAGGGTTGCTATGGGTTGGAACCAACTCGACGGCACTTAACAACAACAGTGGTGGAGCTCTGGTGTTGCGCTGTGGGATAATGCACTGGATCACAAGGTCAGTTTGAACTGCAAGGTCGGTAGTTCAAATTCACCAGCCGCTCCTCGGAAACCCTATACAAGGTGCTATGAGTCAGAATGGACTCGAAGGCACTTAACAACAACAATAATGGCTAATGATCATGAGCATTTTTTCAGATGTTTGCTGGCCATCTGAATATCTTCTTTGGTGACGTGTCTGTTCATGTCCTCTGCCAATTTTTTAATTGGATTGTCTTCTTCCTGTTGAAATGTTAACATAAAAGTAATGCCTTGTCTGGTGTGTAATTATCCAACATTTCCCCCCAGTCTGTGGGTTCTCTACTCGTTTGATAAAATATTTTGATGCACACAAATGTCTCAGTTTTAGGAGGTCCCAGTCATCTATCTTGTCTTCGGTTTGTGTGTTGTCAGTAATGGTCTGTAGTGTATTTATTCCATGTGTCTGAGTCCCTAAATTTGTCCCTATTTTTTCACTGATGATCTTTATAGTTCTAGGTTTTACATTTAGGTCTTTAATCCATGTTGAGTTTGATTTTGTATATGGCGTGAGATATGGGTCTTGTTTCATTCTTCTGCAAATGGATTTTCAATTTTGCTAGAATCATTTGTTGAAGAGACGATCTCTTCCCATTTAATGTGTTTCTGTCACTTTGTCAAAGATCAGCTAACTGTAGGTAGATGGATTTACTTCTGGATTCTCAATTCTCTTCCATTGATCTATGTCTTTTGTTGTATTTTTGTTGTTGTTAAGTGCTGTCAAGTTGGTTCTGACGCATAGCCTTAGGGTTGTATAGGGTTTCCGAGGAGCAGCTGGTGAGTTTGAATCTCCAACCTTGTAGTTCCATGCATTGCCCTGCAGCGCCACACCAGGACTCCTTCATTGCACACAAGGCTATTTTGATAACTGTGATGTGGGATCAGGAAGTGAGAGGCCTTCTATTTTGTTCTTCTTTCTTAGTAATGCTTGGGTGACTCGTTTTTCCATCTTTTAAAAGAATGTTGTTGGAACCTGGATTGGGATTGCATTATATCTATAGATTGCTTTGCGGAGTGTTGACGTTTTCACAATGTTAAGACTTCCTATCCACAAGCATGGTGTAGTCTTCCATTTTTGCAGGTCTCATTTGGTTTCTTGTCGTAGTGTTCTGTAGTTTTCTTTGTATAGGTCTTTTGTTTCTCTGGTTAGATTTATTCCTAAGTATTTCATCATTTTGGTGGCAATTGTAAACGGTCATTGTTTTCATAGTGGCAGATTTTGTCAATTATTCTGGTGTTTGAATATTGTGGTGATAAGTATTTGTGAACTTGTGAACTTCTTTGAGAATGAAGTTGCAGTTAAAGGAAACCGAGCCCACTGTTCTTGTTTCTGACTTCTAGTGGCCCCTCAGTATATGGTTTCCAAGGCTGTAAATCCTTATAGAAGCAGAAAGCCTTATCCTTCTCCCAAGAAGTGGCTGGTGGGTTTGAACTGCCCACTTTGTGGTTGGCTGTCCGGTGCTTGTCCTACAACATCAGGGCTCCTTAATTAAAGGAAAAGGAGCACATTTTTTAAAAAGGCTCGTTTGTACTCTGTTACTAATAATGTTGTAATTCAACGTAGATAGATTTTACAAAACAATTGAGTTGTTAGGATTCATGTAATCTAAAGAATATTGCACTTAAGTAATTTACAATGATGTTTATACCATATTCAATGATTAAAATTGGTACACAGTATCTTTAAGGATTCCTATGGATTTACAGGATTAAGACCCTGGGGGCGGGACCCCCTGAGCTTCTGCCCTGTGTGATACCAGCCCCAGTGCAGCTCTTGGTCCGAGGAGAGGGTGGGGCACAGGAAAGAGATTTGAGTCCTAAGAGCCAGATCGCAAAGGCCAAGCTGGCAAAGTTGGGATTTTATCTATCGCAGACAGGGGAGGGCTTAAGTCTGAGAGGGACTAACACTTGTATATTGGGAGAGCAAGATAGGGGCCCTCCCCCTGAGAACAGAGCGATTTATGTTTTGAAAGATTTCTACTAAATGAGACTTGAGGGAGGGCGGGGCTAATGGTGGGATTGCAGGCAGGGTGGTATTTTGGGCCTCTGGAACTAACGGCCCCTGGAGACCAAGTTCACTTGAGGCCACACTCAGGACGGCTGCCTGGTCTCCAAGCCCACGGCCCCCATTCCCAGACTTGCTGCCCTTCCCCCAACATGGGCGGCATTTCCCGCCTGCTTGCTGGACTTAGGTCCCAGCTTCCGTTTCTGAACCAGTCCAATTGTGCTTCCCTTTGCAGTTGGAGAATCAGCTTCCCCCTCAGAGCACAGATCATTTGGAGCAGCTGACAGCTCACTTCTCCTTTAAAAAATTTTAAATTTATTTTTAGGATAAGAAAAAAAAAAAAGGTTGGCGAAAAGCTTTTTAGAAAATTCCTTTGGTGCAGAAGTAATGGCTTGTGAGTGGCAGGGCAGACAATCTGGGCTCTACGTGCTCCCCATCCTGCCCTGGCCACTGCACGTTGGGAACCTCATCGGCACTTTCTAGGATGCCCACCCTAGCTGGACGGGACCCCCATCCTAGGACTCAGGTCTTCTCATCCCCAAATGCGTCATCCTGATTTTCTCCTTCCAGGGAAACAGTCGTGTCCCTGGGGCAGAATTTATCATTTTCATTTTAAAACAACATATTTTTTAACGACATCAGTAATCCATATTCATCGAAGGATGGTTATGTAACCTCGAGAAAATGCAAACTCGCTTCTTCTCTTACAGCAAGCTCCCATGCTCCTGCCCCCCAGCTGCTTGCTGGGAGATGGTTGAGTGCCTCCCTTCCCAGGGCTGTGCCCCAACTCGACACACACAGGATGAAGTCAGATAGATTAGGCCTGAAGCTAGAGGACAGGAAGGAGCCAGCTATACAACAATATGAGGGAGAGATTCCAGTCAGAGGGCAAAGGCACTCGGGCAGGACCAGTTTGCAGTGTGCAAGCAACATAGATATGAGACCAGTGTGCTTGAGTGAGGGAGGAGAGGAGGTCCTGGGAGGAGCATTTAGGGTTGATTCTGATATTGAGGAAGACCCGCTGTGCATTTTTAAAGGGCTCACTTGGCCGCTGTGCTCAAGGGGGGCGTTGGGACAAGAGTGGACACAGAACAACAAGGGCCCAGAGGGGCTGTCTATTGAGGATCCTGTGCGGTTTAGAGTCGGTTGAGTTTGGAAGCTTTTCCGATAGACACGATTTACCCTCAATTCCACTGTGAACCCTTGCCCAGTTCCTATGCAGTATGCTGCACAGCTTTACAACCGATGATCTTGTTCCAGCCCCTGTGTAGGAGGGGCATTGTGAAAATACCTGATTTGTAGTTAAGTAAACTGAGGCTCAGAGTGGTGAGGTCGCCCCCAACCATTCAAGTCTGTCTGTGAACTTGGAGCTTGGCTCTCCTGAGAAATAGCCCTAGCTGAGAGGGCCATTAGCCCAGGGAGTGAAGGGAAGGATCTGCTGTTTACTACTTTATTTTAAAAACGATCTCAGCTTCTGTGCAAAACCCACACAGGCACATCATCAGTGTCTTCGACATTAGGTACAGACAGGAAATTAAAATGAAAACATTTCTCCCCAACGCCAATTTCAATGCCACATTCTGGGGGCCTCCCTGAAGACCTGTTCCGGGCCACCAACACCCAGCTCAGCACGGGCCTGTGGGCTTGGGAACTCACTTCCAGGTTTAGTTCCAGCCGCATGATTTTGCAGAAGGCTGATCTTAAGCAGACTATGGTCCTCTGAGCCTCGGTTTCCTCACCTGTGATATGGGGTCTCCAAAAGAGCTGCTGAGAAGATTCAGACTTTGATGCACAGGTCTGACCGTGACAGTCCAGTGAGCATGGCCTGTCCTGTTTGCCACAGTGACAATTCCATTGTTGTGTGTGCTCCAAGCTTGCTGGGTGGTCCCACAGGCCTCTGCCACCTTGCTTCATCACTCTTAGTGCAGACTGAAGATGTGACTAGGAGTAGGCAGATGTGCCCTAATGTTTGGCCATTGAAGTAGAGTCCCCTTCTCACTGGTAAGCTGTTCTGTGTCCAGGTCTGTGGACTTTCCCAGTGACCTCCTCAAAGGTACTTCCTGGAGGCTTGCTTTCACCTATTGTATAGGGTTTCTGGAAGGAGCTCTGGTAGCGTAGTGGTTACGAATTGGCCTGTGAACCAGCTACTCCACGGGAGAAAGATGAGGCTTTCTGCTTCCGTAAAGATTTATAATCTCAGAAACCCTGTTCAGGGTTGCTATGGATTGGAACTGACTCGATGGGGTTTCTGGAGCCGAGATCTGACACGCTGTTTCCCTTGCAGCTTCAGCCGGAGCAGCTGGACTGTGGGGCTGCCCACCTGCAGCATCCACTGTCAGTCTTGCAGCCCCTGAAGGCCACACCTGTGTTCCGTGCCCCTGGCCTCACTGCTGTAGCCGTGGCTGGTGTCAACAACTACACAGTGGTCTTCCTGGGGACCGTCAGTGGGCGTCTCCTCAAGGTAGGAATCGGGGAGGGCCCAGGTCCTTGGCAGTCTGTACACAGTATTCCCCATGATTCCTGTCAGCCTCACACTTTACAGTTTGTTTACAAAGCATTTTGAAGTCTGTGTTGTAGATTTATGGCTGAGGGCAATAGAGGGCCATTGTACCATGGACAGAACCTTGCACTGTACAGGGCTCTTCTCTTGGGGTCCCCAAGGCTTGGGCTTTGAAGCTGGGCATATCTGAGTTCACATCTCTAGACTCTGCTAGTAGCTAGCTGTGTGACCATGGGCAGCTGCCTGGGGAGTCCTCCAAACCAGGCTCCATGTTGAGATTCCCAGCAACACCTCTCCTACTCTGGGCCTCAGTTTCCCCATTAGTTAAAGGCTGTAAGCCCAACCTCTCTGGACTGTGATGGGGTTTTGATAGGGGAAGTAGACTTTCTCTTTTCCCATATCCTCCCCAATCCTGCCTGGCCACCTTCTGAAGACCCACTCCAAGGTGACTGGTTTCCCTTAGGTAGTCATACTGGGTCCCCAGCCCTGAGATTTTTTGGATCTAGGGAGGAATGTGTGAAATCCAGTGTCCCCACTATTGGACAGGATGAACAATTGGATATGCGGCTCAGGTGAGGTCCTGGGCTTGCCCCCACTGGGCCACTTCCACCCTCCGGGGGAGAGCAAGCTGCCTGGCATGGCTCCACATGGCACCAGACCCTAGCATAACTAACTCAGATCCGCTAACCCAGTTACCCTCCGCTGGCTCAGCAGACGCCACAGACAGGCGGGTGGGGGTGGGTCTACCTTGAACAAACAGCGTGGTCTTTCTGGATTCAGATCCTTACGCCTCCCTGATAGCCTTGGTTTCCTCCTTGGTCTTGGGGAGATAAGTTGAGTGCCCAGGACTGTGATCAGAGTCTACTGGAGTGGCTCGCCTGTCCATGGAAACTGAGGACTGGGAATGCACCCTGGAATCCCAGTGAAACTGCAGTCCTTAGGCACCACTGTCTACCCAGAGCCTTGAAAAGCACGTATGGGCATTTCACTCTCCGGAGGGAGTCACAGCCACTGATCCCATTTCACAGATCAGGAAACTACGGCTCTCAGAGGTCACACAGCGGGAGCTAGGGTTGAGTTCCTGACAGACTGCCCCCTGAGCCGACACCAAACCTCACCTGCACAGCGCTTGTCACAGCATCCAGCCCAGGCCCTGAGGGTGGGAATGGATGGGGTGTCTGCTGAGTGCCCAGGCACAGGGAGGGACACTGAGTCTAGCCGCATGGCCCAGGGCAGGCCCGAGGGGAACTGTGTCAGAGCCACCTGGCGCTCACGGAGACCTTTCCTGGAGGTTAGTGTTAGGAAGCAGGACTGTCTGCACATTAGCAGAGGGGGTGGGGCAGAGTGCTAAACAAGGGGCCAGTGCCCCAAAGGCTGAGGTGGTAACATGTGACTTGAGTTTGTGTCCGGGGAGATGAGGCCAGAGGGTGAATTGGAGCTGGGTCGATGGGGCCTCCCCACCAGAACAAGTTTATTCCATACTTGGAAGGGAGCCCCTAATGGTTTAAAGCTCTGTGGGCAGGACTGTGTGGCAAGAAGCCCCGGGGAGGGTGACTGGTAGCTGCCTGGGGAGTCCCCCAAACCAGGCTCCATTTGAGATTCCCAGCAGGGCCTAGCCGAGCATTGGTCAGCAGGCATGTTTGGGACTCCAGTATGATGGGGCTGCGACCGGCATTGCCAGTCCCAAGAGGACATATAGCTGGCCTTTGTCTTCTTCCTTCCTGGATCTTGGCCAACCCCATCCCTACCCCTGCCCCATCCCCTCCACACTCAGCCTGGGACTTGGGTTAGACAGACCTGGGCTCAAATCCTTTTCCACTGTGTGACCCTTGCCGAGTCCCTTGGCCTTTCTGGCTGCAGTTGTCTCATCTGTGCAATGGGAGGAATGACAAGTGTGGGCTCGGGAAAGCAGCTGGTACCATCAGTGCTTTGCTTGTCTCTTGTCATTTACTCCTCATCACATCTCTGCATTAATTCAGGAAATAGATTCCTAGAGGAGAAGTGACTTGTACAATGTGGCACACGTGTCCCGGCTGTTAGCCATGTTGCCTAGCAGCCTCCTAGCGGGTGCTTTGTAAAGTGTGAGGCCTGTCCCTACTCACATGGTGGGCTGTTCTGGGAGAAGCACAGAGCTGAGACAGCAGCCTGGAGAGACTGACCCGCTGTCCCTGATACATCTCCCCTGAGTCCTGGAGGACCTGAGAGAACTAGGCAGGCTGAGAAGCCATGCATGGGACCGGCCCTTCCCCAGCTCTCAGCAGCCTGTGGCGTCCTGGCCCCCTGACTGCTGTCCCCACCCCACAGATCAATCTGAACGAGAGCATGCAGGTTGTGAGCCGGCGGGTGGTGACCGTGGCCTACGGGGAGCCTGTGCACCACATCATGCAGTTTGACCCCGTAGACCCTGGCTACCTCTACCTGATGACGTCACACCAGGTGAGCCACAGGTTCAGCCCTTGCCTGCCTTGCCTTTGCACACGCTGCCCCCATGCCAGGAGCACCCTTCTTCCCATGCCCACTTTGCCTTCTAATCCTCACTCACCTCTCACCTCCCAGCTCAGCTGCCACCTCTTCAGGGAAACCTCCCCTGCCCTCACCCATTGAAGTGCCCAGCCTCAGTGTTCCCAGGTCAAGGGAGGGCCAGATGCCCCACTGAGCTGACCCTGGCTCCGCTTCTAGATGGCCCGGGTGAAAGTCGCTGCATGCTACGTGCATTCCACCTGTGAAGACTGTGTGGGTGCAGCGGATGCCTACTGTGGCTGGTGTGCCCTAGAGACTCGGTGAGCTGCCCAGAGGGTGGGTGGAGGGGCCAGCGGTCTGTGAGTGGGAAGGGGATGCCCTGGTCCTGACCCTCGAGGCTGCCCCAGGTGCACTTTGCAGCAGGACTGCGCCAACTCCAGCCAACAGCATTTCTGGACCAGTGCCAGCGAGGGCACCAGCCGCTGCCCTGCCATGACCGTCCTGCCAGCTGAGATTGACGTGCTCCGGGAGTACCCAGTGAGTATGGGTTCCCTTCACCCAGCTCCTGCACTCCCCACTGTGAAGATCGGATGGCAGGTCCAGAAATGTGGGCACATTGCCTACGGAGCCCCCAGAGATCTGGGTACAAATAACAATAAGGATCAAGAGCTGTGTGCATGGCATTCAGCTCTGTTAGGTCTCACAAGAACCCTATGAAGTCGGTGCTTGTTGTCGTTGTTGTTAAGTGCCGTCGAGTCAGTTCCGACCCATAGAGACCATGTACAGGGTTTCCGAGGGTGTAAATCTTTATGGGAGTAGAAAACCTCATCTTTCTCCTGCGGAACAGCTGGTAGTTTTGAACCGCTGACCTTAAGGTTCGCAGCCCGATTAGTAACCACTACGCTACCAAGGTGCTTGTTAGCATCTCTCTTTTCCAGATAGAAAACAGGCACGGAGAAGTGACCTTGCACAAGGTCACACCTCTAGGGAGTAGCAGATACAGGATTTGAACTCAAGTAGACAGACTGCAGAGTCCCAGATGGGTAGGGTAAGCCGGAGGATGAGTGGAAAGTGAGACCCCCTTCTTGCCTCTTTTCTGGCCCAGCAGAAGGGTAAAGGCCATGCAGGACTAGCAAATGCCAGGCTGCTATTTCTGTTTCACAGAAACAGGAGTCTTCAGCTTGGGGGTGAAGGCTAGAACTGTCCTAACCCCTCCCTCCCTGTATCAGGCAGCAGGTCAGGGTCGGGGCTTTTCTGTCAGCTGGGAAGCCGGGAGGGTGATGGTTCTGACTTCGCTCAGGTGGAGATGGGCCTCTGCTGTGCCCACCCCCTCCCGTTAGTACGTGCCACAAAGTCCTTCATGGGCCTTATATTAAACCAACGGGACATAGACTTGTCCATTCCCTCATTCATTTGCTCATCAAATATTACTGAATACCTCCTTTGTACCAAGCACAGCTCTAGACTCCAGGGATACATCAGTGAACAAGACAAAGAACCTATCCCTCAAGGAGCTGATGTGTTTGTTGGGGAGATGTACCATGGGGAAAAGAAAGCAGAACAGGGAGGAGTGTGAGTGGTGTGGGAGGTAGGGGGCTCACTGCGAAGGTGATGACTGAACAAAGACATGAGTGCCCAGCTGAGTTTCTGAGGAAGAGTTCTGAGCAGTGAGAACTGCCTGTGCTAAGGCCCTGGGGTAGGGATCAGTATGCTTGGTGAGAAAGGTTAGAGGACAGACTCAGAGTCACGGGGCCCAGATCATTTACAGCCTTCTTGGCCATTGTAAGGGAACGAGTTTCATTTTGCAGATGGGGAGACTGAGGCCCAGAGGGTCATATGTAGGATGCAGCCCTCTGACCTAGACTCGTGGCCACCCCAGGGAGCACTCAGGGAGCACTCAGGGAGGGCTGGACCTGGGTTGATGCTCAGCCCGAAGAGGAAAGGGGCTCTGTGGGGGCAGTGGCCTGTCCTCCTGCTGAGGGCTCCCTGCCCCCAGGGCATGATCCTGCAACTCTCGGGCAGTCTGCCAGACCTAAGTGGAATGGAAATGGCCTGCGACTATGGGAACGAAGTCCGCACCATAGCCCGGGTGCCGGGCCCTGCCTTCAGCCACCAAATTGCCTACTGCAACCTCCTCCCTAGGGACCGCTTCCCACCCTTTCCACCAAACCAAGGTGAGCACACTTACAACTTGGAGGACTCTGGGGTGCCCTGCCCCCACATGGCATTGATGGTAGCACCTCAGGGTTCCTGATAGTCCAGCTGCTGATATCCGTGGCGACACCTGCCTCCCATGGCTCTCCCCTTTCCATTCCAGACCACGTAAACGTCGAGATGTCTGTGAGGGTCAATGGACGGAACATCGTCAGGGCCAATTTCACCATTTATGACTGCAGCCGCATTGGACAAGTGTACCCCCACACAGCGTGAGTGGCTCGGGGTGGGGGTGGGGGTAGGCCAGGAAGGCCCTTAGAAGGAAACCTTGGAGTTCCTATGCCAGACAGGGCCCTCGGTCCTTCATTACCGGCTCATGTGTTTGTTACTATTTATTTATGCAGTGATCCATTACAACCCAGTGTCTGGCCTTTGGGAGTCCCCAGTCTGTAGGGACAGTGAGCAGTAGCTTCATTGTTGTCGTTAGGTCCTATGCAGTTGATCTGACTCGGAGACCCCATGTGCGCAGAGCAGAAGGGTTTTCAAAGCTCTGACCTTTTGGCAACGGATTGCCTGTCTTTGAGACACCGCTGGGTGGGTTCAAACCTGCAACCTTTAGTCAAGTGCTTAACCCTTTCTGCCACCCAGGGACTCCTAAGGCCCCATCTGTCTATTTCCTCTTTGCATACTTTTTTTTTAATTGTGAACTGAGTGATAGTTTCTATGGGAGAACGTCAGCTTTACACCATCGTTCCATTGCAGTGATTACAGTCTCCTCCGTGCATCAGCATTCAGCAGGATTTGCTTCCTTTCTCTCTGTTTTTCTTTTCTCAGGGGGGTGGAGGAGGGGAATGTACACAAAAACAATCAGAAATAATATTATAATTTAAACAACCAAAGGGCACATTCTGCAAGCCTGCCTCCTGGCTTCCAGCACTCAGTCCCTCACTTTTCAGGAGTCTAGAGGCTGCAGCTCCTTGCATACTTCTTGCGACACTGAGCTCACTACCTGACAAGGTCCCAACTCCTGCTAGACAGCTCTGATGATGAAACCTTTTCCTCCCCTGGGTCCGTGTGTGGGGCCCCGATCTCAGGGGTGAGGGCTGGGAACCCAATGTCTGAGGAGCCCCTTGTCTTTCAGCTGCATCAGCTGCCTGTCAACACAGTGGCCCTGTTTCTGGTGCGCCCAGCAGCACACCTGCGCCTCCAACCAGTCTCAGTGCGAGGCCTCCCCCAATCTCACGGTAAGCCAGGCATCGGGCGCCTTGCACCTCCACTATTTCAGTGCCTGTGTGCTTATTTCATTTGCTATGCTGAGTACATTTCTAGGGCAGTAAGTATTCTTCCTTGATGTTGTGTTTCATGCAACTTTCAGCACATACCACACGGCATGTCGGACTTACTGTAGTGGAACACCGACCATGTCCCCCTTCTGTGTTGCATTTTATGTCTCCTGGGCTGGACAGCTTCACAGCCAGGTCATTGTGAACATTCCTGACTGTCCCTGAAGACCAGCTTTTAGGGCATTTTGGGGTCACAATTGTTGTTAGGTGCCATTGAGTTGGTACCAACTCATAAGTGACTCTATGCACAACAGAACAAAACACTGCCCATTCCCGTGTCAACGTCACAATCATTTCCTGTTTCAGTATTCAGTATTCTGATGCCATGTGACAGTGTTCCACTGCTATCCATAAGGTTTTCAGTGACTACATATTAGGAAGTAGTTTGTCACTCCTTCTTCCTAGTCTGTCTTCATCTGGAAGCTCATCTGAAACCTGTCTGCCATGGGTGACCCTGCTGGTATTTAAAATACCCATGACATAACTTCCAGAATCACAGCAACTCACAAAACCACAGTATGACCACTAACAGGCGAGTGGGTGGGGGTCACAATAGGGATCTAATTTTATATCAACCCAGTGACCCTCTAGACAACTAGAGGGACCACTTCCTCCTCCCATCTGCAGGGGGCGTAGACTATCTATTTCCACACACCTGTGCTAAGACTTTCAAATTGTACTTAAGTATTTTACAACTCTGTAAGATCAGTACTGAACTGTGAACCACAAGGTTAGTAGTTCAAACCCACTAGCGGTTCCTCGGAAACCCTATACAGGGTCACTGAGTTGAAAAGGACTCGACAGTCCTTAACAATAACAACAAGGGGTCAGGTTGGCATAAGTGGTTTTTTTCACTAGTAAAATAAAAACTGGTGGATCAAATCCATGCAGTGGCTTTGTGGATCTGGTGACGTGCTTTCATCAATATTACAGCTGAGAAAGCCCTGTGGAGCAATTCTGTTTTGTAACAGAAGGGGTCGCTGTTAGTCAGAATCAGCTCTGCGGCAGTAGGTTTGTTTTCCCTTAGGGAGAAGGGGTGGTCAGGACATTTGTCCCTAAGATCTAGTGGGGTGACTTGTCTAAACACACTCAGTCTGGAAGCCCCCGACTTTGGCCTTGAACCCAATCCCCTCAGGCTCTGGGGCCCAGGATGTCTCCTCTTCCACAAATCAGCAACTGGGCGGCTGAAAAGCCCTGTCTCAGTTTCCCTATGGTCAGCAGGGTCCAGGTTTGCTACCAGGGGAGGGCTGCTGGTTGCAGGTCCCACATGCTCCTAGTTCTTCCTGTTGTTGGGTAACTCCGGCACTGTAGGCTGGTGTGTGTTGGCAGAGGGCCAAGCCCACCCTGTGTTCCAGGATGGCTGGATTTAATCAATTTAACTCTTGAGGGGAGAGGACAGGAGGACTATGGAAACCTACATACCTCACTGGTTTCACTTGCCATGTAGCCTCTCAGCTTTACCCAAGGAGCGTTGAAGGTCACCCCAGCTTGGTACCCAGGGTGACCAGAAGGAACTTGAGCTGGTGTAGGTGTGGGCTGGGGGTCCAGGTCCTGCCATCACAGTGTGTATACCCCAGACCTGGCTGCTGGGCTCTGCATCTTTTAGCAGGGCTACAAGGGGCTGGACGGAGGAACTGAGCCCGTCTGTACCTCATATCTCCAGGAAAGGGATGCTTCCATACTTTTCCCAGACAGCACAACTGAGGTAGCTGACATAACTCAGCTGCCCTGGCTTCCTGGGCACCTCAGGAAAGCAGCCCAGATCCCAGAATACCGGGATCCCCTTGGCAGAGAGCAGATAAAACCTCCTGGGAATCCTCAAAGTCCTGTCCACCACCCCAAAGCAAAAATCCACTGTCACTGAGCTGACTTCTAGCCACTGACTTCTAGTCTTTACGGGAGTAAACAGTGTCATTTTTTTCCTCGGAGCAGCCCAGCCCCTAAACTACTGCCTGCTACAGTAGGCGCTAATAAACAGCCTGCCCACAAACCTCCAGTTCTCTGGTCTCAGCAACATAAGTGGTTCTGCAGGAGCGATGCTTCACTCAAAGGCTAGAAGGATTTCAGGCGCCATGAGACAGGCCCAGTGCAGGCTTTGAGGCCCCAGATTTCCATAGTCTGGGCTCAACTCCTCCTGCCCCAGCCCAGGGCTGTGTACACAGTAGGGACTCTATCAGCATGGAGCATGGGTATGACAGCCTGCCTCCTGGTGCTCCAACTCAGGGGTGATGGGGTAGGGAGACTCTGCTTGTATTGAGCACCTGTTATATGCCTGAGTCTGTGTTCGACCCTAGGAAGGAAGCTGGTTATACATATTCCTTTCCCTACCCCCAGGATCCTTAGGTTTTTGTTGTGGCTGTGTGACCCTGGACAAGCTATATAAACTTCTCTGTGCCCTTCTTTCACCATCTGGAAAATGTGATCTATCTGAAAATGCTGTGGTGGGGATATGGAATTAATACCCGGCACATCACTGTGATTTTAGGAACTGGAGATCACTCTACTTGGGTTGACCAGGGGGTCTCTTAGTCGAAGGGGTCCTCCATACCAGGTCCTGACAGACATGTAGGAAGCTTTGGAGCTATCTCCCCCACCAGCCTCGTCTAGCCTCTCCTTTAAGCTTCATGTAACCCCCCATCCCTGTCCGACCTGCCCCCAGCTCTGGCCAGGCTTTGGGGGTGGGGCTCAGAGAGGAGACCTGTCTTTGATGATTACTGTAATCTTCCCAGAAAAGATGCAGCCCCTCCCCAGGCCTGCAAGAGGCTCTGAACCTGGTGCTTAATTTGGCATTTAATTAAGTGCCAGTTAGCCGTCCAGGCGCCATGCCTCCCTGGTGGAGCCGGAGGGGTGGCAGGCAGCAGGCTTCCTCGGGTGCCTGGAGGAGGTGCTGGGTCCCAGGAAGGAATGTGAAAAGGCTGAGTCCCCGTTAATTCTCCTTCTTCCTGGTGGGTCCGGAAAAAGGACTGGATCTGAGCAGGGCTCCAGCCCCACCTAAGTGAAGGGTGCCGGAGGAGACCCCAGCTTTGAGGGGAGGGAAGGAAAGCCAGGAGGATGGTGGCCTTGTCCTCCACGTGAATTCAGGTGCCCGGGGATGGGGAGGCTGGGGTGGAACCACCAGTGGAGGGGGGAGGCTTGGCAGGAGTTTGGGGGCAGTTTCAGGGGCATTGTAGGGATGCAGAAAGATGGTGAGGGGTCTGGCCAGTTAATGCCTTGCTAGGTAGTGATGCCAGTTGTGCCCTCTGGGGGAGTTGTGAGGATTGTTTCAGCCTTGATTTCCTATCTGGACTGTGAGGGATCCAACAGGTACTGAACAGAGCTCTTTGTGAACCGGTGACTGGGGCCACATCTTAGGTTTGCTGTGACCCTTGGCAGTGTCTCCCTTACTCTGGTCTCCCGAGGTCTCAGCCCTGCCCAAGCACAGCTAGGAGTGCCTACGCCTGTAGGCCAGGCTTGGGCAGAGGGAAAACCACTCGGCCTCTTTCTGAGCTGTTGACAGCTTGAATGGGGATGGTAGAGGGAGACCAGCTTCTCTGGTTGCAACCAGGAAATCCTGGCTCCCACTAGCTTCAACCCCACAGACTTGATTGACTTGTATGAGTGACTACTCTGAAGGTAGCATCACTTTCAGGCACAGCTGGATCAGGGCTCTGGAGGGCAGGAGGGCCTCGGCAGCTCTAGGCTGGCTTCTGACTCTTGACGGCTTCAGAAACAAGAGGCCCTGTTATTTCTTGTTAGTTTCCACACGTCCCATGTTGAGTCTCTTCTGCTCAGTTTGGGTCACACATCTCTTCCCTGACTCCATCACTGAGGCCAGGGCAGGCCTCGACACCCATCTGTCCCTGGGACTAGGGGTAAGGGTCAGTCTTTTCAAACCCCAGGCCCATGGGGACAGTTCTCCAAAGGCTAAGTCAGACTTTGGAGGCAGACTATGGGGGCTGAAGGCTGGTCACAACATACCACCTGGCCCTATGGCACTGACCCAGTGGGATGTGTAGCTTAGTCAGCCTCAGTTCTAATCTGTAGAATGGGTAAAAGCATCTCTGTGGCCATGAATGAAAAGTATTTAAAAAGGGAAGGGGTCCTTAGGAATGGTCCTGCATCATTCCAAACTCTGGGGACCTCTTAGGGTCTCGGGATAGCTTATGGGAGCCCCTCCTGTCCTCCTCTTGGCCACCACGGGTTGGGGAAGATCTGGGAGGACGAGACGCTGGGGCCCCAGCCAGCTGCAGAGCAACCCTGGCAGCAGCTGTGAAACCTGATCAGAAACATGTGGGCGCCATTCCCTGAAATTCCACAGGTTTTATATACCAGAGGGTGCAGGAGGGCAGCCTGGGGCCACAGGGGACCTGGGAAAGTTCTCCCGAGCAGCTTTGCCTGAAAATGCCCTATCCTGCAGGTAAGAATATTGAGACTCAGAGATGAACAACACTGGTTTCCTGCTCACGCAACGAGCCGGACAAAGCTGTGCCCCCCCAGCCCACGACAGGCCAGCTCAGGAGGCTTCACCCGGGCCTGCCCATGTTTCTTCTTCAGCCAGGGTGCCTGTGACTAGGTCCTGCTACCCCAGAAACTTACCACTCTGAGGTCTCATGGTCAACGAAGGGGCTAGAGAACTGTGGTCCTCTTCTGCTGCCCATTCCACCCTGGGCAATCTGTATTCCAGTTTCTTCTTCTGGAAGATGGATGAAACAATAGCATCTCCTTTGTAAGGCTGTCAGGAAGAGGATTTAGTGAGCTAACACAGTACCAAGGGCTCAGAACCATGCCAGCCACATAGGGAAGACTTGATGGCCTGCTGCCACCACTGTTGTTATTTATGACTGGCATTGGCACCCCTTTGAGGTCTGGTTTCACGCTGGGGTCCCTGAGGGGTAGCCCTGCCCTTAATAAAGCACTCCTGTCTGATCATCATGAGTAAGAAGAGAAGACTCCAGGAAGGGCTCCAAGGTTTATCCCCAGAGGCCTTTGGCCCCAGCTGGGTGAGCTTGGGGGGACACTCGCAGCTCACTAGGAGTTTCCAGTTCTGTTTCTATTCCAAAACCTTCCACAACTGGACTTGGGCAGGAGGTGGGTGGAGCAAAAGGCCCCCAGGCTGTGGAGGTTCACCAACCCTTGTCATGGGTGTGGCTGCACCTAGATAGATCCCCAATCCCACCGGCTTGGGACCCCAGCTTGTCAGACTTGGAGTATTAGAAGCAGGAAGTGACTCAGCCGGAAGTCCAGGTTCACACCCACCAGGTCTGAAGGACCCTGACAAGTGGAGCTTCCGACCTCCTACCTCAGAGAGGCCTCCAAGGTGGGCGTGGTGGACACATCCCTGTCCCTGGACCTCCGTTTCCCCAGCTCCCTGGAAACAGCAGTTCTCCAAGCAGGCCATGGAAGCTGGAGGTGGGGTGGGGCACAGGTGGTTCCCCAGAGCCCCAAGCTTGGCGTCCACTGGCTGTGGAGGTGGACAGCTGTGTCTCACGGGCTGTGAACTTGGGTAGACACCCAAGTTTCTGTCTTTTTTACAGTAGAGCCCCTCCCCTGGGCCTCAGTGACCCACCTCCAACATGGGGACCCTGAGGGGTATGTGCCATCTAGAGCCCAGACCCTTCCCCTAGACATCTAGGAGACTCAGAGGCTATGGCACCGAGACGTCGGGTGGACCCAGGACTCCTGTCATGCCCTCCTGGCATCCCCAACTCTCAAGGCCTTAGCGCCATAGACCCGGGGTTTCTTTTGTCTGAACCATTTGTCATTTGTCAGCCTGGAAACCAGCGTCTCAGGGAGTGGGTACAGCTCCCTTACACAGTGGGGCTGACGAGGCCCAGAGTTGGGGAGATTGGCCTGCAGACTGCGGTCTCCTTGTCACCTTTCAGAACAGCGATGGAGGCATCCCGGTCCCACCACTGGGCTTTCTGGGCCTTGCTCCCCTCATTTGGAAAATGAGGTCAGAAAAATCTCCTGCTCAGGGAGTCTCTGTGAGGGGCAGATAGTGGGTGCACAGGGTACCCTTAGTGGTGGCTGCTGTTTGGAATCTGTTCCATGATTTCTAATGGCACAGGCTGGGTAGGTCTCCTTCCAGTGTGGGTGCTGGGCACCGAGAATCATCCTGACTGACTTTTGAAATGCCTGCCTCACCTTCCTCTCACTTTGCCTGCAGAGCCCTCAGGACTGCCCCCAGATCCTGCCCTCACCCTTGGCACCTGTGCCCACTGGCGGCTCCCAGAACTTCCTGGTGCCTCTGGCCAATGCCTCTTTCTTCCAAGTAAGTCCGGGTCAGGCTAGGCTGGGGTGGGCAGAGGAGGGCAGGGTGTGGACTGTGGAGGCCCACAATGAGGAAAGCGCTCCATGTCCCGCCACCGTGTCTGCCTGTAGCGTCAGCCTGGGCTGTTGGCTGTCCATCAGGTTCTAGATGAGGAAGTTTTACTAAGGAAAGGCAGGGCTGGCCTCGGAAAAGTTTGTGGGGCTAAGCACCAGGCCAGCATCTGCTGTATCAGCTGTGTCAGTTTGAATAGTATAATGCTTTAATCTGGACCCTGAGATATTCTCACCTCTTAAGTAGTCCCTCCTGACAGAGCAGGGGCTCCCTACTCTAGTGCCAAATCCTATGAGAAGCTGTTCTGAGCATTGTCCCAGTGGTGTCCACCCTGAGCTGGCTCCCTCCCTATAGAAAGAACCTCTGCCAACCTGGTTTTCATTGCCCAAATGGGGAAAATGAGGCCCACACAGAAGGTGATGGTTCTAGTCACACAGCACAGGGCTGGATGCCAACTCTTGGCCTAGAATCCCAATCAAGTGCTCTTCCCTGAAACTAGTCCCCATCCAGCGGGGCTGGGGGAGGGGACACAGCCCCTTTCTGGGCTCCTCTTGGAGGAGCATCCTGGGTGGGAAGTGTTGACGAGTCCTGGAAGCATGCCAGCCACCCCCTCCCCAGCTCCTGGGGACTAACCATCTGTCACTTTGCTTCTACAAGGAGCTGAGACACGTGGGGGCCACGTGCGGGGCATCTGGGATATGTCAGGAGCCTCGGGGCTGGGCTGGAGGTATCTGGGCAGGGAAGGAGGACCCTGCCCTCAGGCCTCAACACTTTGCCCATTAAAGGTCAGGGTGGGGTCTGAGGGGCCTGGGCAAGTGGGAAGGGTAGCTCTGTTTCCTTGGGCTCCAGGAACCTTGGAGTGAAGGTGAGAGCCCAGATCTGCGTCTGGCTAACCCCTTCTAGCTGTGTATCTGCAGGGGCCAGTCCCTGCCCCTCCTCTACCTCAGTGCCTTCCTCTGCTTCTCCTTCTATCAGGGAGTGGGACTGGAGTGGGCAGAACTCTCTGAGCCTACGCCCTGGGGGCTCCAGTTCAAACTGGGATTACTGTCCTGGTTGGCCCAGGTGGACTTACCTCCCGGTTCAGCATGGCAGGGACCAAAGTGACTGTTCAGGCCTGTCAGCAGCTAGTTTCCTGTGTTAGCTTTGGATTCGGGACCAGTAGAGGGTAAGGTGAAGTGGAGTGATGTGGCTAAGGGTGGGAGAGCCATCTTCCTTCTTTTCAGAGTGTCACATCTGCTAGTGACAAGAGACAAACAGGAAATCCTGCCACATGGCTGACTGGGGGGCTTGGCCTCAGCAGCACAAAGCCCGAGTTTGCTCATCAGCAGATATTTATCCATGTTGTTTCTAGGAAACCGGGGCTGGACTAAGGGCAAGATGAGACAGGCGAACTGGACCCTGTTTATTCAGGCAAACATTTATTGAGTACCTCCTGCATACTGGTAACACCCAGCACTAACTAAGTACCTACTGTGTACGACCCGGAAGTCCTGGCAACACAGTGGTTTAAATGCTTGGTTGCCAACTGAAAGGTCGGAGGTTCATACCCACCAGCAGCTCTGAGGGAGAAAGATGTGGCAGTTTGCTTCAGTAAAGATTATATTCTTCGCATCCCCTGGGAGGGGGGGCAGTTCTGCTTTGTCACATAGGGTTACTATGAGTTGGAATGAATTCCACAGCGGTGAGTAACTGTGTAAACCACTAAAAAATACATGATCTCCAATTTTCCCAGCAATCCTGCAGGGTAGGGAGGATACGTATTCCCACTCTATGAGGGAGCTTCGAAAAGTTCTTGGAAAATAAAATTTCTCCATGAACTTTTAGAAGCCCGCCTTTGTATAAGGTAAGAAAACAAAGGCTCAGAAAAGAAGAACAAATGGTGCAAGGTCACACAGCTAGAAAGTAGCAGAGATGGGATTGGAACCAGGGGTGTGTGAGGTAGAACCTGAACTTTGCCAACTACCTGTTGTTGTCTTAGGGGTGTCAGAGGGGTAGAGGCACAGCCCCAGCTCACCTTCAGTGGGTAGGGGGTGGGGACAAAGTTAATGCTTAAATAAGCACTAACTTAATGGGGAGTGGCCGGCTCATGGCCAAGATAGCTCTTGCTGAATGAATGAATAAGTAAGTCAGATGTTGTTGTTGTTGTTAAGTGTCGTTGAGTCGGTTCCGACCCATAGCGACCCTGATCAGGGTTTCCAAGGCTGTAAATTTTTATGGGAGCAGAAAGCCTCATCTTTCTCCCGCGGAGCAGCTAGTAGTTTCGAACTGCTTACCTTGCAGTTCGCAGCCCGATTCTAACCACTACACTATCAGAGCTCAGATGAGGGGGCCCTAATTAAAAGGAAGGAGTTGGGAAGGCTTTGGAACATAGGGTATTGGAGCTGGGTCTTGAGGACTACTTGAATTTACCTGGGTGATGAAAGGGGTGGAGGAAGGAACTTTTGGCAGAGACCAGGAGGCTGAAGAGTCTGGTGTTCAAAAGTGATCTGATTTGACTGGGACACACAGGGGTGGGCGGTCCTAAGGTTCAGAAAGTAGGTGGAGTCTCACTGAGGTGAACACTGAATGCCAGTCTTGCTAGGGAGCTGCTACTTTATGAACTGAGTCCAAGACCTCTGATTCAGTTGCCAAGGGATATTGGGCAGGCTTTTACTGGTATGGAGAATATGAGGCCAACATTCTGGGGGTTCATTCACCTTAGTCACTGGGAATGGAGATCAGGAAGAACATGGTTGGAGAGAGCACAGTCCAGCAAAGGCCTGGAGATAGGACCAAGTCCACCTTGTGGGGTAGCAGCCTAATAGAACTGGGCACTGGCCTTGCCCTCCTCAGCACCTCCATTTCCCACAGGGCACAGCCCTAGAGTGCAGCTTTGGGCCGGAGGAGATCTTTGAGGCCACATGGGTGAATGAATCAACTGTATGCTGCAACCAAGTGGTGGTGAGTGGCTCCATTGGAGGACTTGTCCAGATGCTGTACCCCTTTTCCCCACTTCACCCCTCCAATAGCCCTATCCTCACCTTTCTCCATGACACCCCCTTCACCAAGAGAGACAGGTATCACCCATACCCCTCGTGAACTTTTCCACCCTTTTGCAGCTGCACACGACCCAGAAGAGCCAAGTGTTTCCACTCAGCCTTCAGCTAAAGGGAAGGCCAGCCCGATTCCTGGACAGCCTGGACCCCATGACAGGTGGGAGACCCCAAACACCCCACACAGCTCCTCACCACCAGCCCCAGTCCTGGGGGACCATGCCACCATGGGTGGGACTCGCACACAGGCAGATAGCCCACCCCCGTTTCTCTAGAACACACTGACCCTCATACCCCACCCTGCCGTCCCATACCTGGTCTCTTGTTCAGCATGTAGAGAAAGAGCTAGGAAGAAGAGAGACAAAACCCATGTCCTGAGATGTTTCCATGCTGATGGCTGTGCAACTTTGGATAACTTGCTTACCCACTCTGAGTCACATTGTCCTTCTCTGACATGTAGGCTTTGTGAGGATTTTATAGACAATGCACACAAAGCCAGGGGGTCAGTGTGGGTCACAGTAATAACCAGTAGCAGTGGTCTTCCTCATTACTGCCATTTTACAGATTCAATCAATTCTCCAGGGGCCTGTCTGTTCGTGCCTGCTTTAGACAACTATAGTAAGCATGGGGGAATGCTGGTGGCACTATAGGATGAGCACTGGAATGCTAACCACAAGGTCAGCACTTCAAACCCACCAGCCCCCTCTGTGGGATAAAGATGAGGCTTTCTGTTCCTGTAAAGATTTACAGCCTTGGAAACCGTATACAGGGTTGAAATGGGTCAGACCCAACTTGATGGTACCTGACAACAACAAAACAGTGAACATGGGGACCTCTTAGACTCAGAGGTGCCCCCCATACCCACTTGGCTGTTTCCTTACCATAAAGGCCTCAAGGAGCCAAGAGACCACAGAGAAAAGCCCAGACTGGCCCCCACAGAGAACCTACATTACAGTGTCCTTCCCCAGCTCCCCTGAGCTTGTTGGAGGCAGATGGACCCACCTGGCCCCACACCTAGTTAGACCTGGGTGTGAATCCCAGCTCTGCCACTTGGCAAGGCACTCCTCTTTTCTGAGCCTGCCACCTACCTATAAACTGGAGATAGCTCCCACCTGACCAAATCTCAGCAAGGGTGATGGCATTGCATGAGGCTGGGCCTACACTCTGCTTAGCCTGGGGCCCAGGGAGTTTGGAAAAGGTGCTAAGACCACTGACCTCCAGGATGGAATGGAGGGGGGGGTCCCCTGAGCCTCAGAATTAGGGTCTGCCTCTGTGTGAGACAGTCCTTGTGGGGACTGGGGGTTGGAGGGGCCAGTGAGTTGGGACATCCTGAGAATGAAGCTGACCGCCCCCCTCCCCCCCCCGTGTCTCCCACAGTTGAGATCTATAACTGTGCCATGGGGAGCCCTGACTGCTCCCAGTGCCTGGGCCGGGCTGACCTGGGCCACCTGTGTATGTGGAGTGATGGCTGCCGCCTGCGGGGACCCCTACAGCCCCTGGAAGACTCCTGCCCCGCCCCCGAGATCTACACGGTAAGCATGCCCCTTGGCTTCCCCTGCGCCCACACCCCTGCACATGCGGGCACACGCCTTTAAGCCCCATGGACACCTGCATCCTCCTGGCTTGCAGACATGTTCACGTACACACCTAGGCGTTGGCCCTATTGAGCACCTGCTGGGTGCTGGATCCCATGGTGGGTGTGGAGATAGCGCTTGAACAGAAGTAAGAGTTGGTGGGGGAGGCAGACAATGCAGGAGGAAAGGAAAGGAATTATTATATGGACAGTAGTAAGTGCTGTGGAGAAGGGCATAGGGGCGCTGTAGGATAAGCACTGGACTGTGAACCACAAGGTCGGCGGTTTGATACCTCCACCAGTCATCAGGAGACAGATGAGGCTTTCTGCTTCCACAAAGATTTACAGGCTTGGAAACCCTATGCAGGGTCACTAGGAGTCAGAACCGACTCGATGACACCAAACAACAACAAGTGTTATAGAACACTTATTCCATAATACCAAACAACAACCATGGTGGCACAGTGGTTAAGCACTCATCTGCGAAACAAAACATTGGCAGTTCGAACCAGCAGCTTCTCCGTGGGAGAGAGAAGACAGTCTGCGTCCATAAGTATTACAGCCTTGGAAACCCCCTGGGGCAGTTCTACTTTGTCCCTGTAGGGTCACTGTGAGTTGTAATTGATGGACTGACAAGGGATTTGAACATGGATTTAAGTGTTATGCAGACAAATGGGACAGGAGGTGGAGAATGTGGGTAGAGAGGAAGCCTAGTGTCACTGGCTTTTATAGTGAGGTCAGGTGACAATGGAGGCAATCAGTAACTACCAAGCCTTAGTTTTCATTAAAGCAAAAATCTCAAGGAAGGATTCTGATTGGTTTAGCTGGGATCAGGTGCCTCACAGCTCTGTCAGTTCTGGCTGTGTTCAGAATCACAAGGTCACACATGACCACTGGTGTCAAAGGATGACCAAGGAGTCAGTGTTGACTCTGTCATATGCCCTGTGTCCCTCACATGCTCAGACCCATGTGGATGTAGTAACACACACACATCTTCACTTACACCTCCATCAAGCTGGGAGGTGGCTGTGACTCTCCCAGCCTCCCCCACTGCGAGCCACAGTGGGCCCAACCTCAACCCATCTGTTCCCTTTCTGGTTGCTGGTAGATTGAGCCCCAGAGTGGCCCGCTGGATGGTGGAACGCTGCTGACCATCCGAGGCAGAAACCTGGGCCGGCGGCTCAGGGACGTGGCCCATGGTGTGTGGATTGGCGGTGTGGCTTGTGAGCCGCTGGCTGACAGATACACGGTGTCAGAGGAGTGAGTATTAGGTAGTGCACCAGACTCTACGGGAGGCATACCTCAGCTCTGTCCTGTCCCTGCCCCCTCTTTCCACACCACCCTCTTTATTACCTGGCTGCTCCCCACAAGTTGCTCACACTGCCAGGGCTCCCAGACTTTGCTCAGTCCCTCTCCACTCCCATCATACCCCTTTTTGCTTGGAGTCTCCACATCCTTCAAGATTCAGCTCCAGCATCCACTTCTCCAGGAAGCCCTCCCAACTTTCCCTATATCGGTCTTTCTCTCACATAAGCTTTGCTTTGATGAAAAAGCTGTGGATAGAAATTGTGGATGCTGCTGGTATGGTGTGAAGACGGGGATCTGCAGCCACTGGGCCAGGCCCACAGGACCCTTAGACAATGCTGTGAGGAGGGCAAGAGTGGATTTTAAAGTGCCCCAAGAGGCCACCTCCCCCAATCACCTTGTTACAAAACTGTGGGAAAGGCATGGTGGGGGGGTGGTCCCAGGAAGAGCTTGTGGTATGTGTGTGTGGGATGACTGTTAACCCACAGATATGGATTTGTTTCCATTTTGACAATTGGTTACTGTCGCTGGTGTGTCTTAGCTGAGTGCCTGCCCTGCCTAGGTGGGAGGTATGGTAGGGCACGTGCACGAATGAGGCGCACGCTGGCCATAGGCTGGGACTGGAATTCAGGGCTGGGGGCTGCTCCCTGACCCAGGCTGCCTCCCTCAGGATTGTGTGTGCCACAGGACCAGCCCAAGGGCCCTTCTCAGATGTGGTGACGGTGAATGCCTCCAAAGAGGGCCGCTCACGGGAACGCTTCTCATACGTGGTAAGGGCAGCCGCGTCTGCATTACATGCCTGGCCAGGTCGAGCTTGGCAACTGGTTAAGCCTGACCGCCTGCCTGCCTGCCCCACAGCTACCTCTGGTCCACTCCGTGGAGCCTGCCGTGGGCCCCAAGGCAGGGGGCACCAGGATCACCATCCGTGGGAGCCACCTGGATGTGGGCTCTGAGCTCCAGGTCCTGCTCAATGACACAGAGCCCTGCACAGACCTCCAGTAAGTCTCCGCAGGCCAGAGAACTCCACGGAGTGGGATGTGGTGTCCTTACAGCCAGCATCACTAGGTCATCATTGGCACAGGTGTCCCCTTGGCCAAACCCTTTCCCTTCTCAGAACCTCGATCCTCAGTTTGGGTATTTGATCATAACATTGCCTGTGAGTTGTGGGAAGTGCTATGTACACCTGTGTACAGTTGTTAAGTGCTGTTGCGTTGGTTCCGACTCATAGCGACCCTGTATAGGGTTTCCTAGGAGGGACAAGTGGATTTAAACTGCCAACCTCGTGGTTAGCTGTCCAGTGCTGATCTTACAGCATTACACACTAAGGAGGGACAAGTGGATTTAAACTGCCAACCTCGTGGTTAGCTGTCCAGTGCTGATCTTACAGCATTACACACTAAGTGACAGTAATTCTCAGATGCTCTTGCTGACCCAGGGGTGTGATCAGTCTCTTGGTAGAATACATAAATGTCTTATACTTGGCACCTACTGTGCACTTGACTCCATTGACGGGTATTGCTGGGGACACCAGGTTGAGTCCAACAAAGTCACAGCCGTCTGAACAAGGAAAGACCCACCCGGTGGTCTCTGGGGAGAGAGTTCTCTGTGCCCGTGCAGGGTTGTGAGGAAGCCCTGTGAGGAGAAGACTTGAGATGTAGGGGCAGGGTTCAGAAGATGTTCAGGATGGAGAGAACAGTGTGGCAGAGGGAACAAAAGCAGGCCTGGAGGTAAAGGGTTACTGTTGAGGGGACAGAGAGTCTGAGAACACAGTGGGGCTGGACGCTGGGTGAGGGGTGGCACTGGGGTGGGCCCCGCTTGGTGAGCAGGAGGGAGACGGGCCTGCTAATGCCCCGCCCCACTAGGCGTACGGCCACCAACATTTCCTGCACTGCGCCTGGTGGGGCCCTGCCAGTGCCCGTACCCGTGTGCGTACGCTTTGAGCGCCAGGGCTGCACACGTGGCAACCTCACCTTCCGGTACATGCGGAACCCGGTCATCACCGCGATCAGCCCTCGCCGCAGCCTGGTCAGGTGAGATCCCTGGCTTACCTGTGCCTGGCTCTTTATTCTCTGCCCCTGGGCTGCAGCTTGGCTGACAGTCTGCCCCTCTCCACCCCACAGCGGCGGAAGGACCATCACAGTGGCCGGCGAGCGGTTCCACATGGTTCAGAACGTGTCCATGACGGTACATCACATTGGCCGTGAGCCTACGGTGAGAGGCCTGGGCTTGTGCACAGCCTTGAGCGGCCCTCGCTGCCAGTGTCTCTTCCTTCCTGTGTCTTATCTCTCCATTTCTCCGTGTCCCTGCCTCCCTCTGTCTCTGTCTCTTTAAACCTCAATCTTTTCCCATCTCTCCCTGACCATCTTCCTGCCTTACTCCCACCTTGACCTGTGCCCCTCCCCTCCAGCTCTGCAAGGTTCTCAACTCCACCCTCATCACCTGCCCCTCTCCGGGGGCCCTGAGTAACACGTCGGCACCAGTGGACTTCTTCATCAACGGACGAGTGTACGCGGACGAGGCGGCCCTGGCCGAGGAACTCCTGGACCCTGAGGAGGTACAACGCGGCAGCAGGTTCCGCCTGGACTACCTCCCTGACCCGCAGTTCTCCACAGCCAAGAGGGAGAAATGGATCAAACACCACCCTGGGGAGCCTCTAACCCTGGTCATCCATGTGAGTGTGGTGGTACCAGTGGGTGGGGTGAGGCTCAGCCCGTGGACCTGAGAATATGCCCCCAGCAACCTCCCAACTCTGTCAACAGAAGGAGCAGGACGGCTTGGGGCTGGAGAGCCATGAGTACCGGGTAAAGATCGGCCAGGTGGCCTGTGACATCCAGATCGTCTCTGACAGAGTGATCCATTGCTCGGTCAATGAGTCCCTGGGTGCCACTGAGGGCCAGCTGCCCATCACGGTGAGTGAATGGGGCGCAGGGACTGTTTTCCTGCTCAGTAGTATAGGCAAAGAAAGCAAAGCAGAGCCTTACGTCTCCATATAATACTCGGAGGCCCAGGAACTTAAAAGTCTTGCTCAAGACCAGTGATTAGGCCCACTTAGGCCTAATGGGACTGGACTTTCAGAAACCTTAAGAAGTTGTTTTAGTCACATGTGGCTGATGGTCAGCATCTAAAGTCATGGTGGGGATGGGGCGGGGTCCCAGAGACTGGAATTTTTTCTATACTGAACCTGCTTGCATACCTTCTCTGGTGGGGAACTTGCTTCTTCGCAAGCGGTATGTATGTGCTACCCAGGACAGCTCTGACTGAGGGAAATGCCCTTTGCCCCCTCCATTGCTGGTTCTGCCCTCTGGTTCTCAGACTACCTGCTCCTTCAGACCCAGGACAATTCTACAGATACCTGGGACTGGGCCTGAGCCCCCTGAACTGTCCTGCCTCTCACCCCTTTACTGCTCCCCTAAGCTGTAATAATAATCATAGCCCCACGTTGAGTCTTGCCTCTGCACGGGGGATCTGAACCCTGCGAATGGGCTATAGATGTGGCATCTGAGATTCAGAGAAGTTAGATGACTTGCCCGGTGCCAGACCCCTAGTGAGACTCTTTTACCCTGCTTTGCAGATCCAGGTGGGGAACTTCAACCAGACCATCGCCACACTGCAGCTGGGGGGCAGTGAGACGGCCATCATTGTGTCTATTGTCATCTGCAGCGTCCTGTTGCTACTCTCTGTGGTTGGTAAGGAGCACTGTAGCACTGTGGAGGACAGAACCTGCCCCTCCTTCCCAGCCTCTGACGCCCAGCTAGTCAGACTAGAGAAGGTACCACCTCTCCAGGGCAGGGGAGAAGTGTGTCCTCTGGGGCCAGCGTCAGTAAGTGAGAGGACATATGGGTGATGGACCTTGAATACCACTGGCAGAGGAATTTAGAACCTTGTTCTCAAGTCAGGAGGGAACATGAAGGCCCCTAAAAAGGGTGGCTTAGGAAAGTTCAACCTACAGGTCTGATAGACAGCCCTTGTATTCAAATATTAAGTGCTGTTGAGTCCCTTACAACCATGTATAGTGTTTCCAAGGAGGGGCTAATGGATTTGAACTGCTGACCTTGTGGTTCGCAGTCCAGTCCAGTGCTGATCCTACAGCACCACACCAGGAGTGGCTGTAAAAGAACGATGTATTCAGTGTAAAATGGCACAGCTTCTGTGGGAAACAGTCTGGCACCTAGCCATCAGACCCAGCAATTCCACTTCTAGGTCTAGACCCAAGAGACACAGAAACATATGCCCACAGAAAGACTCTTAGATGTATGATTCATAGGGGGCAGAAGGTGGGAAAATAACCATGCGTCCATGGATAAATAAAAGGTGGTATATATATGTACGATGGAATAAAGCACAGATAAAAGGGGGCTTAAGATTAATAATGAAATGTGCAAAGACCTGGCTTTAGAAAACCAAAGAAATGCTTACATTTTTAAAGCTAAAATAACTGCAGAAAAATGTGTGTGGAACAAAACTCAAATCATATAAAAGACCAGACCTATTGGTCTAATGGAGACTGGTGACCCCCAAGACTATGATCCTTAGTCACCCTTCAGGTCTAGAACTGAACTCACATCCATGGATCAACCTTCAGTCAAATACAAGTCTATCTGGTAGAAACCACCACCGGGGAGGTGCAGCACTTATTAGAACAACCAGTCATATGAGCTCAAAAGGGCAGCACGTGCTCAGGAAAACAGCTCTGAAGGCAGGAAGGGCTAGGAAAGGGCAAATGGAAGTTACAAACACTGGGAGGAAGAGAGAAGA